TTAAGATGCTGCTCCCTATAATATCTAATACTGATAGAAAGTTGAAAAATAGCCGTCGCCCCTTTGTAGCTAGTATTTTCAAAGCGCAAGCTTTTTATGTTTCCCCTATAGTATAAAACTTATATATTTTTCTTTATCCAACCGTCCATTCTGAATGGAGGGTTAAGATTGCCCCAATCATAATGTCACGTCCCTACACTGTTTTATTTTTAATTTTTTTATAAACCATTTTCATATCAAATTTTGGACATTCATTCCTCTATCAAACTCGTATCAGTGAAAAATATAAAAAAAATATTTTCAATTAAAAAAATAACTAAAATACTCGTGAAAGTTTCATAAGGTATTTTGGTCATTATATTTTAACGAAAAATTATTTTTAATATTTTCTATAAGCATGCCCCAATGTGAAGATGGCGCGTACCAAATTTCATATTCATACAATTTATATAAAAAAAAACTAAAAATAAAATACTTTGAAATGTTGGATCTAAGATCAAACGGTGAACGGTTCTCTTGATCAAAATTGGACGATTGGATGGTAGGAGAAAGATAAAACTTCTATGCTGCAAAGAAAGTAAAGAAGCCTTTCCCATTTTAAAAATCACTCCTGTGGTCAAATCGGGTACCTACCAGTTACGAGTCGTACTGATGAGTCGGTGCGGTGCCTGGCCAACTCGGCCAACTGAAGAAACATAAAACCGGCAAAGAAAATGTATACAAAACATGCAGACTCATGTTTACATAAGGGTACTTCCTTATACTGTAAAAGTAAGATGACGCCTCTAAATTTTGTCTGGAGATATAGTTCTAGTGTTAAAAACTTTATGATGCCTTGAAATTTGTATTTGACCTGAGTTATATTTAAAAAAAATTATATATATCATGCAGATCCATAAATATTTAAAAATATTGAAAATAAAGCGTCCAGAAAACTTATAAAAAAACGCACTATTTTTTGGGCTTGAATTTTTTTTTATCTTTACATCTGTCCATTTCAAGGTCAAGATAATTGATCAGAAGGTTTTCCAACTTCTGTAACACTCTTTTTTATGGGATGTTTGAGGAGCACCTCTCTTCTACATTATAATATGGGATTTTTGAGATGCACCTATGCTTTATATTTTAAAGTTGCAACTTTATATAAACTTTTTCCAAATAAAGTACGAATATGTTTAAATAATGTTTAGAAGCTTTATATCATCCTGAAAACAACGATTTTATAATAACAAATATTTCCAGGATGATTTTTAGGATAAAATCCAAGAAGCATGTCCAACGATTTGCGGGCCTGGTAATAAAATTTTATACTCCAAGAAGCGTGTCCATAATCAACAAGTTTGAATTTATAGTTACTTTTTGCTTTATTGTAGACCTCTTAAAAAAAAAAAAAAATGAAGTTGCTTTTTGCTTTTTTTTATTATTAGA